CTTATAAACTTTGCGTAACTCTTTTATGCAAACACCTATTTCCAAACCAACTGGTTCTTCTTCACAATTTTCTGAATGCACCAATTTAGAATCAATTTGATTTTGAGCAAAATTCTTAGTGTGATTAGATCCACACCAATAAGAGCATTGAAAAGGAAAATAAAATGGCCGCGGAACACCGAATTCTCCTGGGAAAACATTTTCTATGTACCTAAAAATAAATATATAAATTCCAAAGAAAAACTAAAATATTCACTGCGGCACACTTTAAATAGTTTTTTCCACAAATTTTTTTTACTGAAATCATATTTTAACTGAAACTTCTTTAAAGTTATTGTTACAGTATTCAGAAAAAAATGATAAATAAACAAAGTATTATATTTTGTTTGTAGTTTTGTATATCTTTTTTCATTAAGTTTGTCAGAGCCTATTAGAGAACTTTGCTTTGTTTTTTATGGTGTATGGTAATAAAATATACAATATTTATATAAAATATATAAACTATATTGCTTTGGTATGTGCACCTTATTGTTGGTAACAACTAATTTATTGCTTAAAGTTATTAATATTTTTAAAAAATCATCTTAATGCATTTCTAACATTAAAAAAAAGAAGAGAAAAACTCTTGATTAAAACTTGTCTTATTTAGAACAAGTTTTTTCTACAAAATTCTGTAAAATCTTTACAACTATATATGGTTAATTCTTACCAAGTTAATATTCCATAGAAAAAACAATCAAATATAAGCATTCCGAAAGCTTGACCTATTGTAAAATTGTCATCTACAGTAAAGTAACTGTTCAAATTATTGAACTGGACACCAACTTTACCAGCTTCCCATTGTGAAATTAACTGAACAATTATTCCAAGACAAGTGTTAGGCAAAACACAAGAGCCAGTTTTTCCAGCTCTAAAAATAATTACATACATTACAAAATAAAAAATTACTTTAAATATTTCATATAAAAATATATATACCTTGATAAAGTCTTAAAAGATTGATCATCTGAAAAGGAAAGGTAAGGAGCAAGAGAAGCAAACCATAGTAACGCACCAAACAACATTCCACGAACTGCATTAGAAAACAGTACACTAAAAAGATAGTAAAAAAAGATTAAAATTGTTAGGTTTCAGTTATTAAATTGATTTGTATTGTTTTATATAAAAAAAGGCAATATATATGCAAACTAAATGACATAATACATGAATATTCTTTATGTTGCAAAGTATGGACATAAAAATTTTTTAGATAAACAATATTTTATAAACTGTACAACAAAATATACATATATAAAGTAGCAATTAACTTATATAAATATATAAATAATAGGTCAAAATAACAATACTTAATTTTTATTTTATTTGGTAAATTTTTTTTTCACATTTAAATTGAAAAACTATTTCAATAAAAACATTGTTTCAAATATTATTGCTATTAATTTACATAAATATAAGGTTAAAGATATTGTAAGAACTATCTTTATAGTTCTTAGTAAAATATTTGATAAAAGTATTTTGTAAAACCAAAAAAAGATATGCTAATTACTGAGTGAAATTTTTAATATTTTTATTATTGTTAACATTTTAAGAACTTGTTTGTGAACAATTTAGAAAAACAAGATAATCTTGTTAGGTATTTGGAGAAACAAGATAATCTTGTAAGATATTTAGAGAAACGAGATAATCTGGTAAAGTATTTAGAGAAACAAGATAATATTGTAAGGTATTTAGAGAAACAAGATAATATTGTAAGGTATTTGAAGAAATAAGATAATCTTGTTAGGTATTTGGAGATACCTAATTCAGATAATCCAGAAACAAGTTTAAATTATTTATAAGTTTATTAGAAGTAATCTTTCATATTTGAACATTAAAAACTTAACTTTTCATATTACTTTTATTACTAAAAGGAGAATATAATTTTAAAATGTGCAATTAATTTTGCATACATAGTATTTACTGTAAATACTACTATTGACAGTAACTTACAGTTAATATTGACAGTAACTTACAGTTAATATTGACAGTAACTTACAGTTAATATTGACAGTAACTTACAGTTAATATTGACAGTAACTTACAGTTAATATTGACAGTAACTTACAGTTAATATTGACAGTAACTTACAGTTAATATTGACAGTAACTTACAGTTAATATTGACAGTAACTTACAGTTAATATTGACAGTAACTTACAGTTAATATTGACAGTAACTTACAGTTAATATTGACAGTAACTTACAGTTAATATTGACAGTAACTTACAGTTAATATTGACAGTAACTTACAGTTAATATTGACAGTAACTTACAGTTAATATTGACAGTAACTTACAGTTAATATTGACAGTAACTTACAGTTAATATTGACAGTAACTTACAGTTAATATTGACAGTAACTTACAGTTAATATTGACAGTAACTTACAGTTAATATTGACAGTAACTTACAGTTAATATTGACAGTAACTTACAGTTAATATTGACAGTAACTTACAGTTAATATTGACAGTAACTTACAGTTAATATTGACAGTAACTTACAGTTAATATTGACAGTAACTTACAGTTAATATTGACAGTAACTTACAGTTAATATTGACAGTAACTTACAGTTAATATTGACAGTAACTTACAGTTAATATTGACAGTAACTTACAGTTAATATTGACAGTAACTTACAGTTAATATTGACAGTAACTTACAGTTAATATTGACAGTAACTTACAGTTAATATTGACAGTAACTTACAGTTAATATTGACAGTAACTTACAGTTAATATTGACAGTAACTTACAGTTAATATTGACAGTAACTTACAGTTAATATTGACAGTAACTTACAGTTAATATTGACAGTAACTTACAGTTACATGGCCTATACTTTATTTCTAAACTGATTTAAAAATATCTTAAATAAATTAAAATCTTTTTTTGTTTCTTTTGCAAAGCATGATACATACTTTTAAGTTATACAAATAATATAATTCATACTATACATGCCAAAACTTCCCATAATGATTTGAACTGTCAAGAATTATGCCCATAATATTATAGTTAAAGTTTATTATGACTTTTAACAAAAATAAGTAAACAAAATTTAATTATGTAAAATAAGTAAATAAAGCATAATTAATTTTTTTATTAATAAAACTTAAATAAAATCATAGATAATCTCTATTACAATACATAATATATTATATAACATATGACAAACATAAAAATTTCTACTTTTATTTAATGAGACATTTGCATCATATCAGAACAAAATCTCTAATAGAAACTAATAGCACAATACTTAAAAAAAAATCAAATTATTACCTTACAAAAAATAGTGTAGCAATACTTGCCAAAATGTACAACAATAGAAACACAAATATAAATAATCCGTTGCTGTTAGGAAATACTTTTCCACCCTGTAAACAAAAGTACATTATTATTATTATCTAAAGTTATCTAAGGTAAACGTAATATAAACACTTGACATAAAAATCATTAAAAAAATAAAAAGTCAACTCAAATTAAACATTTTATTTGAACCATGGAGTTTAATAAATGGTCCAACTTAAGTAAGATTGAGTGATAGAGCAACAAGACTAAAAGCATTTGAGTGATAGAGCAACAAGACTTAGAATTTTTAAGTCTGAGGTTAACCTAGTTGTATTTAAATTTATTATATCCTGTATATTTATTCTACGTATTACTAAAAATGGTAGAAAACAGCATGGATCTTTTTTCTAGAAACCTTGCAAAATAGTAGATAACAAGATGAACCTTTAGTGTAACTAAAATTGGAAAAACATAATGAAGAAGTTTAAATAATGAGTTTTTTCTTCAAATTCTTGACCAATTCTTTTAAATTTTGGCCTCACATCTCTTATTTATCAATTAAGTTGGCGTAGATGTAAACTTGTATTAAATATTCCTGCATTATGAATGCTGGAACTTCTTGACTCTACTAAGGAAGATGATTTTAGAGGCCATTGTCATGGTCACATAAAAAGCCATCTGTTATGATTTTGTGTTAATTAGCAGGACTGAGGTAACTGCACATGCTTGAGGTGCCATGCCTTATCTATGCATGAGTCAAGTTTTCTAATAACTTAAAACATAACTAAAGTACCTAAAAATATTAACCATTAAAAACCATCATTGCCATCTGATTTATTTTAATCTATCTTTTATGAATATATTTGTGGTCTTCAAAGAAACATTTCATTAGTCAAATCTTACTTCCTGCGCAATACACTAGACTTGCTTACTCTCTACAAGACCAATTTAAACATGGCTGTTTTACTTTTAAACCTTAGTGTTGAAGGCTAGTTTTCTATGACTCACAAGGACTCCAATAGCCACATTGGCCTGGACATATATTTATTAATTATCAAAAGGCAAGGCAAATTATCACTTTGCCTATTTGTCGTAAAACCAAGTTTGAATTCTCTACCATTTTTTTATGAGCTTACTTTTACCACCTCATCTTTCATTTTCACAACTCAATTTTCTTGTCTTTGACCCTAACTTATATTCAGTATATTGTTATATTTCTTTAGTTGGTTCAGATCATGCTATGATCTCTTAATTTCTAATTTTATACACCTTCTCTAGGCTCCCCCTTTTGTTGCACTATAACCATAAAGCTGACTGTGATTTTTTCGTAATTTTTTTTAATAACGGTCTTTGAGCTGATGTCATTCACTATCTCTTGTATTCAGACAAGTACTAAAGCTTACATTTCTTTTTGTTTGTTAAGTCAAGCCTTAAAGTTTTTTAAGTCTTCAGTCAACTGTTTTCATACTTTTTAATAATATTCTTTATTCTTAACTCCTAACTTGTGTCAATATATATATATATATATATATATATATATATATATATATATATATATATATATATATATATATATATATATATATAAATTGAAAATAAAAAATACCTTTAATAGAATTGTTAGAAGAATTATAGTACACAACCAAAATAAAAAATTTTTAATAAACCATGAAAGCCAGTGTAACCAATTTGCAAGCCCCATCATTTTCATACTTTCTTTAAGACGACTCTCTTTTTCTGCAACCAATTCCTTAAATATATTGTTTTATTAAAAAAATACTTTTTTTTTTTTATGTTCAAATAATATGCTTTATAAGAGAAAACTAAAGCATACTTTTATAATAGTAACAGCAGTGTATTCGAAAGCTAACACAATAACAAGTGGCATAGTGGTTTTTATAATAGTATAGAACAAGTCTTCAATATAATCAGGATATGGAAATTGCTAGACATAAATATTATTTATAGTAAAAATTATAGTAGTAAATCAGTCAAAAATTACAGAAAAAAGCTAAAAAAAAAAAATTATACTTGAAGAATTTCTACAGCTTGATATGTTTTATTATTGGTTTGTGCTTGAATGATGCCTGTGTCAATGTAGTATTGCAGAGCAAGAAATGGACTCTTATAAAAGCTATACAAATAAAAAAATAATTCATTTAGTATTGCAAATCATATACACATATTTTTAATAACAAAATTATATGAGCAACTTGTCGATGTTAAACTTAAAAAAAAGATTTTTTGCTAACGCTGAAGAAGTTAATTATATAAACAATCATTTAAAAAACCAGATTAAAATAATTATGACTTCAAGCTTACCTCTTTAACCGAGGACCTGCAGGTATAAAGAATGGATAAATCCATTTGGTCATCCAACTTCGCTGTTGTGTATAGAGATTAGCAGTAGAATGTAATAGTCTTATAGAATATTCTATTTTTTTTGGTAATGGCTGATCATCATTAACATTTTGAAAAATTACAGCTGAATACAAAATATTTAAAAAATTAAAATTATAAAAGTAAATACAAGTAATTTAATAATTTGAAAAACATAACAGCTATACCTCCTAAAACGTATTCTTGATGTTCTTTTGCTTCAGTCAGAACATCTTGCTCAGATTTGAAAACATTTCCATTTGAATCATTAGTAGCAAGATCAAGGTTTAAGTTAGTTGAAGCTGCTTGCAGCAATCTAGCAGCTAAGAACAATGAAGCATAAAAGTTGAATAGTTATTTGACTTATTTTTGTGTTTCAAAAACTAGTCTAAAAATCTATTCGTAATCAAGATCAAATTAAAACAACATGAGCCAATAATAAAAAATAAATAAAACTAAATATCTTTAAAAAATTGAAAATAAGAAAATAATGAAATTTTTCCTTTTTGTATAGAAAAAGATTCTTACTGTTATTATTTATTGGCCAGTATAAAAGTTTAAGCGATTCATTTTCAAATTTTATTCCATTCGATTTCTGAGCAAGCATTTTATACTCAATAATTGCTGCTGGAGATGATGGAAAATAAGGAGGCTGAGAACCTTTTAAAAGATTTTTTAGTTTATTATTTCATTTGTTTACAATCAAAATGCACATAAATAGAAACAATTAAATAAAATACTCAATAATAAACTTAATAAAACAATACTGTATATTAAAGATTTACTATTTTAATCTACCTTATTATTAGACTTCTACAATACAAATCATCAGAATAATTGTTATCAATTACATTATCAGTTTTATACATTAATATATAAATACATTAATATATATATATATATATACGCAGCCCTGAAATTGGATATATGAAGGAAATATACACTTGAATGGAAATGCCACATTCCGTTCATGTGACAATGAAAGCAACATTTTGAAATTGTTACTGTTGAAATTTATTTTCCAATTATTTTTTTATTGTTCTCTTGATAACTAGAACAATTACTTCAATTGAAAAAAGTTCATTTTGAAAAATTTTTACTTTAATCTTTCTTTTCATATTAGAACGATTTCGATTTTTATAAAGAATAAATGAAAGATTTTGATGTCTTTACTTCTAATAATTGGCAAGTTTTTAGCAAATGTTTTAATTTAATAATAAACTTTTTTATTATTTAATTTTAATATAAATGTTATGAAACATTTCGATTGCAAAAAATAACAGAAAGAGTTTCAAAAAAACTTTGTTTAGCGTAAATAAAAGAAACAATTAAAATATATATTTAAAAAAATATTTTATTAGGCAACATTTTTGAAATGGACTAAAAAGTAAAAAATAAATATATAAAAAAAACTTTGTTTCACATTGTCTTAGGACAACAGTCTTGACACCTTTGTGTAGATACTGAAAAAACTAAAAAGGTCTCATACATAACTCATTTTCACTAAAAACTGGAAAACTGACTTTTGTCTTCAGAAATACAGATTTATGAATCAACACAGTCCCGACTAACTGCAGAACATGGAGAACAACTGGCTTTTGTGCATGCCAATAGGAAATTTTTGGAGAAACGGAAACAAAAAAATAGATTCACAGTTTTATATAAAATATTTTATTACTTTTCATAGAATTATAAAAATTTATATTTATTTTTAACATGACGCAAGTTGTTCTATTATGTTTCAAATATGTTATACTTTATGTTTATATTTTTTAAATATTTCTTTCTTTTTAAATATGTATTTCTCGATTTTAAACTTTTTCATAGAGTTTTGTATCTATAAGTTATATAATTAGTATACTAAATTATAAGAAAAAACTAAAAAAGTAGAGAGCCCTGTTAAAAGCAGTTCAAAAATTTTTAGTTTAATGGTTGCATATATGCCCATTTAATAACTTATTATTAATAAGTAGGGCTTATACATGGCATTTATGTTTATGGTGTAATTCTTTTTTTGGATATGATATAGAAACAAAGAAATAAAAATAAAAATTAAAAACTTTTCAAAACAATCAGCATCGGCTGATGGTTATATAGGCCGATACCAATGCATCGGCTAAATGGTCGATGCATCGGTATACTCCTAATATATATCTATATATATCTATATATATATATCTATATATCTATATATATATATATATATATATATATATATATATATATATATATATATATATATATATATATATATATATATATATATATATATATATATATATATATATATATATATATATATATATATATATATATATATATATATATATATATATATATATATATATATACTAAGTACATAAAATAGAATTAGTAAAATACTCAATAACAAACTTACTAAAACATTTCTTGTTTTCTTTTATCCCAGTCCTAAATATTTTGAAATAAAAAATTATAAAATCTTGCAGAAAAAATAAATAGTTGAACTAATACTACAAAATATTTTTAGTATTAATATAAATTTGAAGAACTTTAGCAAGATTTCAAAATGCTCAATATGCCCAAGCCCTCGTCATTTAATAATGATCTAATTTTTGGATGTTATTTTTCCACATACAAAAAAAAATTTAATAGCTTTACTTTTTAAATTTTCTTTACATATCTAAAACATAAAAATAATAATGCATTTAAATGTAAAACATTTAGCACGGTAATAACAATAGTTAATTTGAAAACAGAATTAAACATAATAGAGTAAAATTTAGGGGAATCAGCATTTATTTGATAAAAAAGATGCTAAATTCAAAAGGAACTTGAATAATGGAATTTGATTATCAAGTAATGCATTGCACAATCAACACAAAAATTATTAACTTCTATGCAAAAAAAAAATTTTTCTAACTTTTTATTTTCTACCTTGATGTTCTTATTTTTTCCAAACAATATATTTTAAAAAAGGTTATATGAAATGCTAATGCAGATCGATAAGGTTTCTTTTCGAAAATGCTTCTCTGATGTTGATGCATCCGCATATTTACCTGCATTTTTGTTTCACATTTGTAAACTTTGGAACAGTTGCATTTTATTATAGAGGTTCCAGGCTGGCTGGATTTCAGCCTGGAACCTCTATAATAAAATGCAACTTTTTCATATTTTTCATTAGAAAAAGAATGCTTCTTTTGAGTTTTAAAAGATATGCAATTTTTGTCGCCTAACTGGCAGTAGGGTCTTCACTTATAATTTGTGGAAATAATTTATTCACAGATATTTTCCAAAGCTTTAGAATGTTCAATTCTCACAAAACCTGTTCTTTTTCAAACGGATATATAATAATGTTTCTATTGTTTTTTATTTCTCTTTTGTCAGAAAGTTATTTTTTTTTTATCTGTTTTTAGTTCGCTTAAAATGTTTTTCCTTAAAATTTGTGCATTTTCTACTTTATTGTTGTATTCTAATTTTAATGCAGAAGACTCCATTGTTGATATAATACCCATGTATGGCATTAACTTTAAAGATGGTACAAAGTTTGGACTAAGGTTCAAAAAATCATTTTGACTTATGGAAATATCTGTATCGCATAAGTTCATAACTGTGTTCCTTTTATACTGTTATTTTTCTTGCAATATGTTTTCCATTTGCATGTTCACTTTGAAGTATGATATTTTTTTAATAATCATTCTTTTGATTTTAATTAACATGCATTCCCTTGATTTTTCAGTAATTTCAGACATTTTTGCCATAAGGCAAATCTAGGCAACTGTCTAGGGATGCTAACCAAAAAAAGGCACTTGACTTTATACTTTTTTTTGGAAAATATTAGGAAACAATTTTTTTTTTACTTTTATATCACATAATCACAGGTTTAATTTAGAATTTATTTCAATTTTATAAAACTCATCTAATGATTATATTAAAACAAAAAACAAAGATTTCAAGCAATAGTGTCTTTAAACCTTGTTAGGGCTAGGGTTTAAATGTATGAGTGTCTTTAAACAAAAAACACTTGCACAAAAACTCATCTTACATAACTTAACTGACAATACATTGCGCAATACAAAGTACTAGTTTCTATTATTAATTATATAGTGAATTTTTGCTTCTTATCAAACCAATAAATTAACAAAAACAAATGATAATCAGTTTTTACTGTAGATAAGTATTGTTTTAACTTCTAATAGGAATTAAAAGGCAACGACTATTCATATATAAGGGCACCAGGGATGCAGAGTCCCAAAATGACTCCAGCTTTGTATCTCTATTTTTTCCAGGTCTGTAGTGTCCAGAAGCTCTAAACATGTTTATTGACTTATGACCTGCGATAAGAAAAAAATTCAAATGGTTTAATGACTTGGAACTTATTGTTTTTAAGCCCATAGTCCTGGAGTCCCGGAGTCCTTGCCGCCATAATACCTAAGGACTTCGCGTTCAAAAAATTATTGTTCCTCTTACCTAAAAGTCTTAATTTTTTTCCTATTAGTAGTCCATAATCCTTTTTACATTTTTAGAGCTTCTGTATACCAAAAACTATGAAGAAGTAATTTTTTTGTGACTTTCAAATCTGGAGTCCTTTTTTAGACTCTGCATACCTGAAGGGCACTGAAGCCACAAATTTGCCACTGTATATATATATATATATATATATATATATATATATATATATATATATATATATAAACATATATATATATATATATACATATATATATATATATATATATATATATATATATATATATATATATATATATATATATATATATATATATATATATATATATATATATATATATATATATATATATATATATATGTATATATATATATATATATGTATATATACATATATATATATATATATATATATATATATATATATATATATATATATATATATATATATATATATATATATATATATATATATATATATATATATATATATATATATATATATATATATATATATATATATATATATATATAGACAGATAGATAGATAGCTCTGATATACTCAAAATAAAAATAATATAAAAGTGCTACCGCTATGTTTGATATATAATTTAAAAGAGGGAGTGAAACTCTGTTATAGAGTATCTTAATTTTTTTTTTTACAGGATGTTTATTACTCATTCTATACTGATTAACACAAAAAAGTTAATTGATAAGCTTGATTTTATTTTGTTCATAAATTTAGAGGCACAATCAAAAAAGACTTATATCTTGTTAATTGATAGTTAATTAGTAGTTTTTTACCCATATTTCTCATTAATAGGCCTAAATTAATTGATTTTGTCAAAAAACCTTATATAAATATGACTTACCTGGAATTAGTTAATTATTATTTAATAAATAAACAAAAGTTAAGTTAGTTTTGCACTAAAAAGACGCGAAAAATGGGCAAAAAACGTATCACTGAAGGTGAAAGATGGCAAATTATTGCGCAGACAATTTGAGGTTTTAGCCAGACAATGTCCGATGTCTGACCGTTAAATAGAGCCCTCATATATATATATATATATATATATATATATATATATATATATATATATATATATATATATATATATATATATATATATATATATATATATATATATATATATATATATATATATATATATATGAGGGCTCTATTTAATAGAATTTGAATTTCCAGACTATGTATATATGTGGGTGTGCCTTACTTAAAAAATATGAAGGGCGTAAATAGTATGAGAAATCTGAATGAGATGAGATGTGTATTATTCAAAAACATACAACAAAAAGATTTTTTATATACAAATAAGAAAAGATAAATGGTTACAAAGCAAACATGACCAGCAGTATTTAAAAGAAAAACAAAGAAAATTGGACAGTTGTTGGAAAGGAACTACGATCATTCTGTGTATGAATTTAACGCCTTATCCAAATGAGCAAAACATGTGTATATTCATTCAAGAAATAAATATAATTGTATAGTACAAAAAAAGTTTTACATAAAAGTACACGCATGCATTGCATAGACCTTTTCTTATAGGGATAATATATACTTATTACATTAAATTATACAAATATATTTTACAAACAGATGACAATTAATATTTTCGCTTTTAAAACAAAAACAAATGAAATATAGGAAAAATGTTTTAAAGGGATCCCAAACTCCTGACACATGTTGTGTTCATATTAAAGATAATGTTAAAAAAAAAGGTTTGAACCAAGTTTTTTTGATTAAAAATAAATAATGAATGCATACCGTGAAAAACAAATGTTGTTGTTTTTGCCGAAGCTCGCCTTCTCCATTTTTTTCAATAAATCGGAACCTTCAAATTATGCGTCGCAATCTACAGACTTTGGCAATTCCTTTGAAGCGCGTTTAATTCATAAAAGTTTTAGTATTTGACGTCACCGTAGACTTTTAACAAAAGAAACTCTGGAAATATTTTTATTTATTTTTAGTCGAAGTTTTTTTGGTTATTTGTTTAGTTTTTTTTTTCTACTTTTAATATTTAAAAAGATATTAAAACTTTAAATATTTTATGCTGGTTCGTTGCTATAAATTGTTATTGCGCTATATATTTAATGTTTATAAATTATGAATATTTATTATCTCAATCAAGACTCTGATAAAAAAATGTTTAACATTAATTACCCATATAAAATTAGTAAAAGCATTTTTATTTGGTTAGATAATATTTCGTCTCAATTTGCTTTGCATGAAGTGCGGGAAGTCAAGCGAAAAAAATTAGTTTAAATAATCATTTTGAAATATATTCAAAACAAATTATTTTAATGACGGGGGTTTAAAAGTTTTTTATAACAAATGTAGGCAAAAAATAAATAATTAAATAAAAAGTTCAACATTAAACATCATTTCTTTATTATATTGCAACTGTAAATATTGAAATATTAACTTGAACTAAATTTACTTATTATTTAGAACGACTAAGCAATAAAAATAAAAAGCCCCTAAAATTATGCGATATTGTGTTGTTTATTTGATAATTGCTGTTGGTAATGTTGTTTATGTTGATTATTTTCATTATTATCAAAAAAGTCCCAGATTAATCTGTTAGTTGCTTTGTTCATTGTTGCTTTATTTCTAATTTAATTTATAGTATAAATTTATGTTAAGAAGAAAAAGTTTTTATTTCATCGCTCACTCTTTTTATGAGTAGAACAAAAGAGAAAGAAAAGTTTCGCGTAATTAAACTTTGAATGAATAAATAAGTTGTATAGAATTTTTTATTTTTTTTATTTTTGCGCCACTCGTTCTTTATTTAGATGAGAGAAATAAAAGTTTAATAGTAACTTTTCTTTGAATAAATGAAAATTGGAAAAGAAAATTGCTTGAAAATTTGTATTTATTGTGTTATAAAATTTTTCATGTTAAGAGACAAATGCCAAATACGATACAAATTGGGAAATACCTAATATAATATGTTTTTTAA